ATCACTTTACAGCTCACCATTGTGAGGTGAGTTACTAGGGCATGTTGCTAACCAACAGAAAAGGTAATGTAGCATTAGAAACTGGTATTTCTGTTCCCATGTGCCCTGCCATGGGGAAGGTGGTTGCTAGACTTGACATCATTTTATAGCAATAACAATAAGGATGAAAAAACACAACAGGTAATTCTAGGCCTGTAACTCTGGTAGTGGCTGGCACGGCCATGCTGTGATGACACCATGAGGTGTGTTGACAGCTGCACAGTGCTCAGCAATGAACCACGTCTGAAATGGTGGTTCAACACACAAAAGCCAATACTCCCAGAAAGGAAGGAGCATTTCTGACTAAATGATAGAAAATGGCTGACTTCTTTTCAAAGTACTTCTGAACCTTTGACAAAAGACCATGGCAAAAAAAAAAGGGTAATTAAAGACTGTCCACTCGACTCTTGGAGAAAATGAGAAAAAATAACCTTAACTGCTTTACTGAAAGAACCAGAATGCCCACATGGCTACAACTCTGAAGCACAGAGGAGGGCAGTGAAGGATGTGGAACTGTCTTGAGCTCCGGAAAAGGTGGACTGAATTGCCAAAGAAATTTATGACCAGGACTATTAGCTTCCTGTCTTTGATGTCTATTCTTGGCTTTCCAGGAGCATTATGGCATTCATGAGGTGAAAACATCACTGGAGCCAAGGTCAGCTAAGGCTGATGCAGCCTGTTCTACAGCAAAGCTGAGAAACTCACTCTGAACTGCTTCAAGCCTGCAGACACTCACTGAGGGCCTGAATTTACTCCCACTGAATCAGTAAGAGGAGGGTTTTGTCAGTTTAATGTGTGATTGTATTTCTAAGCCAAAAAATGAATCAGAGATCAACTTCCCAGTAAAACACGTTGTCAGGGAGAACACTCTTTATTTTGTCCAGCACAAATGTTTTCAAAGCATTAGCTACACCTTAATAACTCTCCACTGAAAAACCCCAACAAAATACTTCCAATAATGCAATGGCACATTGCTTAAAAACAAATTGAAAATAGATCAACATGGTTTATTTTCAGAAATTAATACAACTCTTTAATAAACTGAATTCTGGTCACAATCTTCCAAAGTGCTCTCAGTCACACTCAATCACAAGTTTTAGCTAAGACTAAATGTTTTCAGAGCTCAGCTAGGTGTGGTCTTCAGTGAAGCACATTAGAGCAGGAACTGGTGTTGGTAGTAGTCACAAACAACTCAGAACACACAAACTGTCCATAAACAAACATTTCAGAACTACCAGTGGCCCAGGACAAAGCACCTAGACATCTGACTCTGAAGCTTTAGTTTCCTGAAGTGGGTTTCAGGAAACTAAATAACAGATACTTTTGAAAGTTCTTCTTCATCTTTGTCACTTGCAGTAGAAGCCTGGGTGCTGAAGTTATGAGGGTAAAAAGGCAGGAAAACTGTCCATAGAACCCTCAGGAAGAGGATTCTGAAGTGAACCAGGTATTAAGCTGACCACTGTTCAGTAATTTTAATAAATACAAAATTAGCAGAATTTGTCAAATTTTAACAAACAGAGTATGAATCCACTAGTTAAATTTCAATTTAACAGGCAGAACTGTAAGAATTAGCAATAAATATGGCCTACACAGCCAGCCTTTCTTAAATTCAAGCACATGACAAATCTCCCTTTGGTTCAGCCACAGCCAGGATCATAGCCTTTGGTCCCAAGTGAGCAAAGCACTTAGAAGCTGAAGTTGAGCATATTTTAAGTGTGTTCTGAAGTGCTGAGCTGAGTCAAGGGTCTCCTTGTGCTTCTCTGTAACACAGATGTATGTTTGTAATACGGGCAATTTGTTGAAGCCAAAAATGTAGGTTTTGAAACCTCTTTTGAGGATCAATTATTATTATTTTGATTAGACATTCCCTTACAGAGTTCGGAGCCTAAACATTGTGGCATTGAGCTAATGCAGATGAACCAGAAAGGAAAAGTGCATTAGCCAATAAAGAATCTCTCTGCTGAATAATCTAAACTCGAGGCAGCTTCTGATCTCTGCTCCACGGAAGACTTGGGAACTATTAGCAAGAGGCCTGTGAAAGGCAGCTAAGAAGAACAAGTTTATTTATGCTATGAAGGAATCTACTTATGTGAAATGTCTTAAATGATCTCCACACTTCCATGGGAAAAACACATACACTTGTGAGCATCAATTTGCAAACATTAAAGCCCACTGATCTAAAATGCTCTAAGGTGCAAAAGAAGGTTCACCTTTTTTGGGAGGTGCTGGGATGCACAGTTTTGGCTAAGCTAGCTCAGCACCCCACCAACAGACATCTCACAGGAACAGTTCCCGAGGTCATGATTTAAAACCCTACATAAAGGTTTTAAAACATTAGAATTAATATTCTTTTTTAAAAAGTGACCTTTTACTATACTTTTTTTATAGGTATCATAAAATGACATAATAAATAAACTGTTATGAGAATTTATTGTCCCAGCCAGATCTCCCATCTTCTGGTGTGACTCAACTGTGCATGGCACAGGTAAAATGGACCTCTACACAATTGTCTTGATTCCAAACCTACCTGTTTGAGTACTAGTTCATACTGCAAAACAAGTCACAGCAAAAATAATTTCCAAAAGAGCTTATGTTTCAAATTATAACCTCTTCTCTACTAATTTAAAAATTTTCCTGGCCTTTTTTTCTGAGGCAGAGTGGTCAAATGGGTAAAAGAAAGACCTATTTGCAAAACCAGAAGTAGATCAAAAATATCTTTAAAAAATCACAAACTTTAAGCATGCCCAGGGGCTAGACAAACTCAACTGCTTGGGGGGGAAAAAAAATGCAGAAACTAATCAGGAAGTCTTTTTTCCTCCCCAAGTCCATTTCAGTATGAATGCTGCTCTAGCCTACTTCTAGTGCCCATGAAATAAGGAGAATACTTCAGAAAAGTGTCCACTGCTCTGGCTAAAGCACCTTTGTAGAGGTCACACAGGCCCAGACTGGGAAATGGGATGCTGGAAATCAATGTCCTGTGGTGGAGCTGCCCTGACAGTCAGGAAGCTTTGCCTTCTGGCTGCCTGGGACATAGGACAATATATCACAAGGGCAGGTGATGAGCCCTCCATATGCTAAGAATAAATGGAAATATAACGGAAAAAACCATGTCCAACAACAAATAAAAGGCAGCAGAGAGCAGACACGGCGAGTTTTTGCTCTTCACTCCCCTGTATCCCAAAGTGGTTTCTCAGAGTTGGAAGTCTGGCCAACTGACTTTCAGGGCCTAGAAGTTTTGTAGAAATCAGGCTTCAGAGCACGTTTTGAGATTAAGTCTGGCTAGAACTGCTGAGACCAGAAAGTTCCGTTTATGAAATCAGAATAGAATGAACCAAAATATTTAATGGACTCTTAGAATCATAGTCATAGCTCTGTTCCCCACTGACAATACTTTTATGGATCTTCTTCACTACATTTGCAGTAAGCATGGTTCATTTCCATTTGATGACTACAAAGTGCAAAGCTCTCCTCTGTCTAGTATAAAATAACCTGTCAGTAACTAATTCAACATAGATTCAATTTTGCTCCTGGTAAAATAAATGGCAAAATTTCCAGCGGATAGTGATGGCAGCAGGATTAAAGTCAGCCTCAAATAGGGTTTTAACACATGATTCCTGAAGGTATTCCTGGGTGCTTAATTGTACACACATGGATAGTTAAATCTCAGTGACTTCTATAGGACTCTTTAACATGTGAAAAATACATTATTTACAGCATCAGGGTAATCATCACATAGACAATTCAATAACTGCATTTTTGTTGTTCAAGTAACTATTTGAATGTTGCACATGACTGGAGAAAAAAATTGGGCAAAAAAATCTATTACCATCCACAAAGTCATTTCTCCTCCCCTAAGTACTGGTTCTAAAATGTATTTACAGCTGTTGACTTTCCCTGCATATTACTCCTATCATACAAAATATGTCTTCAAAACATCCTCTTCCTTAATTTTTAAACCTACCAAAGCAAAAATAGATACTTTAATAGAAAAATACAAGATTAAAAATATCCTAAAAAATAAAATGGTTGCATGGAATGTCATTTTTATACACACAAAAAAAATCCCCTTTTGAATTGCATCAGCTATACAAACACTTTCATATTTACAGTTATGGATGCAGTCCTGTGCTCACTGAAGTTAATGGGATTTTGCCATTGACTTCACTAGGAACTGGAGCAGGCTTGACATGGACTACATCTGCCCTTCTGAGAAGTCATGGCAGTGGACAGAAAAGAGTGTGGCAAAGCGCACATAAGACTGAGGAATTAATCAGTCCTCTCCAGAGACCTGATTGTCTTCTCTATCACTATTTCACGTGTGTGAAACTCCTCATCCTTCACTGGAGTTTTTCCTAAGTCCCACCAGGTAACGGGGAGAAAGAGTGCTTTGGACTGTGACACCACACAAACAAGGAAAGAATGGTTTGTGTGTTTCCACCTGCCTGACCTTCTCAGAGGAATTAATTAGAACCAAGTGCCAGTTCTCTCCCAGAACTAAGGCCCGTACACCAACTTTCATATCCCCTGTTATCAATGTCAGTGATTCAGTGATGCAGGAACATACCCCAAAACTAATCCCTTTTTTCCTTTTGACAGCAACCAGCACCTGTACTTCTGAAACCATATTTGTTACTCATGGGTGAGATGCAAATATGGAAGGAGGTGATAGAAGCTAAAAAAAAAAAAAAAAAGGGAACAAAACGAGGCATTCCCCATCAACTAATCCAAGATCTTCTCGCCTTAATATATGCCTTAGGAAAAACTGTCTTTACATATTAAGTACATCCTATAACATCAAACTGCATAATTTTCTTTTCTCATGAGATGAAAGGCCATGCGGCATAACGTGATTAGTAAATCATTCCTGAGCTTCTGAAAGAAATTAAGACAAAATTACTGCTTAAAGAGTGAGTTCTTCAAGAGCCACTTCTTTTTACACTGATGTCTTTGGTGTCCTTTTCTCTAATTCTTTCTTTTCCCTAGGAAGAATGGGATTCTTTTTCATCTTCTTTATGCAGCAGAAAAATGAGATCTAATGGAGTCTTCACGTAACTGCCGATGTTTCCCCATGTTACAGTCCTCCTGTTGACTTCGTCTCTCAATAGTTATTCTGTATTTCTTTCTGCATGAAAGGAGAGGAACAGAATGAGAAATCTTTCTCCAGCTACAGGCTAACAGACATTCCTTATGAAGAATGCCTGTAGGGGACAGCTGGGTGCCATTTGAAAAATGAAACGTGGCAGAATGTGAAACCCTGGTCAAAGATTAAAGTAGTTTGCCTCAGAACATTTTACCCAGGCTCAAGAATGCCTGTTAATTCCTACATGGCAGTCTCAAAGCACTAAGGCACGGACATTTGCTTCTTTGAAAATTTCTGATCTAAGTGATTAGGAGTTTTTGTGAAGTGTCATGTGAACTGTGTTACTTCACTGCTTTGTATTGATCAAAGCCAATTTTCTTTTCAGTATGCTGGGTGGGGGGGAACTTTCTGCAGAGTTCAAACAACAGCTCTGACTATTCAGCTGCCTTTCTCACTGAAACTATGTATTAACTAACTAATCTTCCCATTTCCCTCTGAGAAAGCTACAATGTTTGTAATGTCAGAGGAGGTAACATGATGAATTAAGAAGAGGGATGTAGAAGACAGATAAGAAATAAACACAAATGCTCATGTATCAGACACAGCTCTTCCTGTGTGTCTTCCTCTAGGGTCTTTTGAAGAATTCTGCTATGCTTTTTACGTCAAACAAACCCTCTGACTGCCTTTTAGCTTCCCCTTTAGTACCTAAATCCCCCCCAAAAATCATCAGATGATTCACATTTACATTTTGTATGTTTAGGCTTCTACTCTGTTTCAGGACAAATTTTTCAGAAGGGCATTAGTCCAACCCCATGGGCTTGTACTGCTGGAGGAGATGCATGGCAAAAACCTTGTATGCCAAGGAAAGCCCTGTTCCACCAGCACAGAGAGCAGGAGTCACAGCTAGGTATGCAGCAGTGGAAGAAGGATTCTCACAACACCAAAGTTTTGATTCAAGCAACATGGCTGAATAGAAAGTGGCAACCTAAAAGTTCTGAAAATACTCCCTCAATACTTGTGTCTGCATCAGTAAACTCCAAAATAACTTGAAAAACCTGAGTTGTTTCATTTCTTTATGTATTTTCAAGTCAGACCCTTACAGGGATCAGAGCATGCACAGCAGTAGCTCTTGCAGAAGGACAGGTCCAGATTTCAGACATACAGGTGTTTAAGTTAAAATATGGTCAAAGTTACACGTCAGCACTACTCCCCAGACCTTTTAACTGTTTGCATGCACACTCAAAACTGTATTTGTATACTCATTTGTGGCAATTACAGATCCAAATGAAAGGTAATCAGAAGGGTATATTTACAGTTTAAAAGCTACAGAAGCTGCAAGTACAAATTACTTCAGGCACACAAATGCTAAACCTACATTTTCTGAAAATCTGACCCATACACCCTGACTTGTTAGGTTTCAAATATTTATTCTAATGGTGGAATAAGGAGGTTGTCCCTGCTTCTGCTTTGAGCAATTGCAATCAGCTCTCCAGAGTGAAATTCACCCACAGGTCTTTAGACATCTCCAACATATAGATCCATCTGACAGCACCTGCAGCTTTCTTCAGTAAACAGAGAAACAAGCACTAAGAGACCTGGTTTAGCTTTTAGATGAAGATGACATGAACTGCAGAGAAGAAAAGTGCTCATTTCTCCCCTCTGAGCATACATAAAAAGCCTGGGTGTTGAGCTCAGGTGTATTACATCTACTTCTACAGACACCCACCTTTGCTGACATGGATTTCCAATCCAAGTTTTGTGTAAGATGACAAGGAGTTCTGTTCTTAAAGCAATACTTTGCACAGCTTTATACCAGACCAGGATATTTGTTGTTTTATTTCTTGTCCTTACAAACCAAATTCCTTCCCAATATCAGCAATGCTACAATCCACACCTAATAACTGACATCTCTGGTTAAGAAGCTACACAAGATGCAAGAACCTCTGATGACATAAAATATGAAGACAGATTTTTATTTTCTTTTTCTTTTAAAGATAGTCTTTATTCAGTCCAAGCCAACTTAATTGTATCTCAAATGCAAAAAACATACTATATAAGCACTGAACATATGCAAGAATAAAATCACCTGCCAGAATTTCAGTTCTAAGTACCTGATGAATAAGCTTGGTTCTTTGAAACCCTGAAAGTGTCCTGGTGAATTGAAACAGGCTTTGCCTGTTTTATTTTGTTAACATTTTTTATAAACAGTTGGTTTTAATGGATAGAATTATTTGATTCTTGTATGCAGAAGTTAATTCTATTCTCCTATCTGGCTTTTACATAGCAGGAGGATAAATCACTGTATACATAAGGTGCTGAACATGTATAACTATTCCATCAGTTTAGGATCAACTATCTGGACTTTACATTTGCTGACTAGCAGTGTAAGAATTATTTTACTTAAACACGAATAAAACACTGATCACCCTGCATTGACCTCAGCTTATTAAGTTAAATGCACAGCTTTGGAATCCAAATGCTCTCTTACACCAAAACAGAAATCTCTTTCTGTTCTGCAGTACAATTCCATTCAATACCAGGCAAATGATATAAATCTCTTGCAGATCACAGCCTGCACAACTGTGCTGGCAAGGAGCAGCAAACAAAGGCAGCTTTCAAGGCCAGGGCACTTTACTAAAGCAACTGTGAATGTCTGGAACTCACTGGAATTACTTCCATGAGTAACATTACTTAGGGATGTAAATAGTTACAGGATGAAGACCCAAGTCAATAAAATAATTTGGATAAACACAAAAGGACAATCAAAGTGTGTTCACTGTCTCTGGTGAAAATGTTACCACACACTATTATGGTGCCTCCCTGTCTCCCACCAAGGATGTTCTGCCAGGAGCTGAGAAGTTTGGATGACAAATAAAAAGTTTACAGAACTTTCAAAGAATTGGACTAACCTGAAGAAGTAAAAAGCCATTAGCAATCCTGCTCCAAGCAAGGCGCCCACAACTATTCCTGTAACTGCTGATTCTCCTAGACCACCTGCTTGAAAAAGAGAAAAATAAACAATCAGGGTTTATATTGAGAACTATCTGCATTCATGTATTGGAAAATACACACAATTAGGAAATTAGTGACAAACATTAGATAATAACTAAAGCCTTTCAGAGCTTGGGACTCCATGGGAACCTGTTCCAGTGTCTGCATGTTTACTTTTTGTCCTTGCTGTCCTTGGGGCTGAAAAAGCCTTAGATCAGTGTCAGATGAAGGCACAATTCTGGAGATGTGATACAAGGGAATATTTTTAGGTAACTGGCCTGGATGGCTTGGTCTGAATCATAACACTGATCATGGTTACAGTGATGCACATCATGGGAATCAGCACTGAATATGCCTTGAGTCACTGTAACAGAAACAAGCTCATCTTACTTGGATTAGAATCATAACCCTCTATCACCCAGGTTTATTAAAATGACTATGATTATCCAACAGTTCCTCAATTTTTTTCTAATTTCCTGAAGATATGTTGTTTCAAGTTAAAGCCATGTGACTTTTGACTAGCTTCAAATCTCAACAGAGGCAGAAAAGGGAAACAGTGGCTGAAGGGGATCCCAAACAGGGACCATCTCTGGGTAGTACTGGGCACCTGAAGAACAATGGCATTTTCATGTGCATGTAGTCTACTCCCACTTCCATTCCCACCTGGATTTGTGGAAAGGAATAGAGAAGGAAATCAAACTGCTCCCTGCTTTTCCTTCATTCCTGACCCTTTGAGGGGATTCTGTCTGTACAAAAGGAAGAAGGCACATAGCTACACCACACTGCGGCAGGTGGTCTGCATTCACACCAGTTTTTCAAGGGTTCAAGAATTATCAGGCTGGAGTTACCTTTTCACTGCAGGACTAGCAATTTGTCTCCTGTGAAAAGCTAAGGCCACCTTTTGTCACTGAGGCACCAGTATCCTCCTACCCCAATCTCTCTGCAGTGTCCTATGCACTACTACACGGTCTGTGATTCAAGTGTGCAGGAAAGAATGGACACCTGCCCTTTGGAGAGTAGTCTCAGCCTTCTGAATTCACAGATGTCACCCCATTCAATTGTCTTCACTCCTCCTCAGCCTACTGAGCCCTCACAGTGCCTTCTCACAATGCTGAAAACCATTCTGCACTGGGAGAACACTGCTCCCACCAGCACAGCTGCTAATTATCAGCATGATTATTCCATGCTGGGGTTTCAGTTACATCCCTCTTTCTGACTAAAAGGCTCCTGCAAAGACCTAAAGCCTCCTGGGCTCTGGCCTGTGCATGATTACTGTTACATTTAAATTCAGGGAAGTGATTCAGACCATGTACTACCCACGGCTGTCAGACCTTCACCTCCCAAGCAGTGGGGGGAGAGAGAGAGAGCCAGTCACCATGTCTCAGCTGGAAAACTGTGCTGAACAATTTAATATGGCCCAATATATTGCAGCAACTCATGGATTCTCCTTTTTGGAGCTGGTACAGAAACATTAAGTCACTAAGCTTACATGATTTGCATGGTGTATTGTTGGTGTGCTCTGAAACCCGGCTTTCATCGAGGCGCAGCCTGCCGTGGTTCCACGGGTATTTCACATTCGGGCGAATTTCAAACCGCCCCTCCTTTCCAAAGTAGTCCCCAATCACCTATGCAAAACAAGAAAGGGATAACAAGATTTTCCTATCAACTTAGAGAAGTGAAACAAACGGGAGAGAAGCAGGACTCCCTCGACTGCTGTGGCATGATGCTGAATGTCAGAGAGGAGGGCTGAAGGGGTCTGTGGGAGGTTATGGAGTGCACGGCCTGCCCTAGGGCAGAATCAGCTGAACAGAAGCATTCCTGACAGATGTTTATCTAATCTGTCAATGAAAGCCTTCAAGGATGGAGACTTGACAATTTCTGCACCAATTATTCTGGAATTTAGCTAGCCTTACTGTCAGTTGTTTTCCCTAGCATATAACATAAAATTCTTTTTTTGTAGTCATCCATCACTTGTTACCAAATTGTCAGTGGTCATAGGAGTCCTTCCTTTTTGAAAGGCTGGTTTATATATTCACAGGCTCTTATCTGATTCTGCCCTCAGGCTTCTCTTCTATATAAATCCAGTTTATACAAGCTTTTTAACCTTCTGAATATTTGTCCTGCTCTCCCTGGGCTTTTATTCATTTCTCCATAGTGAGTTGGGTGCCCAGGATAGTCACCCAGCTTAAGCTAGACATCAGTCCTGACTGGGCATGAACAGACCCAGAGCAGCCCTGCCCAGAAGGACCTGGGGGTGCTGGTGGGTGAGAGGCTGGATTTTTTCATACCCATTCATAAAAGCACCTCAGAATTTCAGTCCTGTCTTCAGCAGTTTCAAGATAACCTATGTGGAATCTACTGCAGCAATATGTCTAAAAAACCTAGGTACAGCAGCAGGACCATATATTGTGTCACTAAAGTGGTCAGAAGCAATAGCAGAAGCACATCAATAGATCTATTTGTCCTCCTACAGATAAAATGCAGATATTAATACACTAGGTTTAGAATTGATGGATAGCCTCTTCAAACTTTTCATCTGAATTTCATTTTGAAGCCAATGACTTTAAAGAATGTTTGCTCTGCCTAAATACACAAGGGTATATTTTACACTAAATAAAGATATTTATTTCTCTCACAGTTGAAACTGGGATAGAAATCCTTTGTAGAATGAATGTGTTCAACATTTGTCCAAAAATTAAGGCAAATGCAGTAAACTGGAAAAAAATAGAGACCATTCACAGGCATTATATTATTTATTAGGAGATTGATTAATTCATCAAGCAGGAGTGGGTGAGTCCTCTACTAGCACAACTTACTAAATAAGAAAATAAGCAGAATGGTTTGAGAACAAAAAGCTATAAGCAGGAGCCACGTGGATTCAGTTCAGAAGTAGGATATAGATTTTTGAAGAGCAGGAGTGGTTGATCTGTGGAACAAATTTTGAGGACACCAGCAAGGCAGTCCCTGTCCTTTCAGTATCTCCAAACAAAAAATAAATGCCTGTTCCAGCATGAGCTTTAGTCACATGTGAACTAGAGGGCTCCATAAAGGTTAAGAAACCTGCCTGTGTCTAATATAGCAGAGGTCAAACTAGGAAATTCACATTCTCTTCTAGCTTTAAACTCTGCAAACAGACCTGGGAAAACAGCTCTGCCCAAACACCCATCTGTCTGTCACAGTTCAGCTGAGAAACATTCTCAGACACAGAAAAAAATTATCCAGCTGAATAGAACAAGTTATCAAAGAAACAATGTTTTTATAGAGAGGCATGAAGGTAGAAATTATATGGCAGACAAAAAAGTAGTAAGTAATCACGAGTAAAATGTTAATTGCATGTATATTTATGTACCTAATAAAGTAGAGGGAAATTCCACAATAAGTTAAAAGAATAAATGGAGCATTAAAAAAAAAAGGAATTTAAACTGCAAGTGAAAGAGCAACGGAAGGAATGGTAAGAGAGGGAAATTAAATTGAGAAATGAGATAAAAAGCTACTGGGCTGAACAAACAGAAGATACACAGATTGTTCACACCAAAGTTATCCCAACTATTTTGTACTTCTACTGCCCCTGGGAGTGTCTGCAGTTTACTGGTGTTGTTTTTCTATCACTTTTACACTTTCAAAGGGGCTCGTTGAATTTTTCTCCACTGCAGTACCAACAACAATGTAACTTCACTGGACTCAAAACCATACATTGAAATGTCCAGCTCAGATATTGCTACTTTTTGTTTGAGCTTGTTGAAATTAGGGACACCAGCAAAGCTGAGGCTGATGCTGATTTTGCAACTAACAAATGCATCCACTGCAGGTGGACTTAGGGCAGCGCATGTATTAATAAACTCAGCCCAGACATGCTACTCTGTGTGCAGCTGCTGCTGCTTCTCACAGACTTTTTCACAGTCCACCTCTTCCAATCCTTCTACATCCAGTGGAATAACCTATCTGGAATATGTGGAGCCATCTGATTAAAATGTTTCTTAAACACTGAAAAGAAGGCACTCAGAGATGTCTGTCTCACAGCATAAGATTTAAATACCTGTACCTGCTGTGTTAACACATCAAGACAGCTTGTCCATCACTGTTGCTGTAAGATTAATCTTTCTTCCCAACAATAAATAAAAAGTCTTGCTCATTTTTAAACAATAATTTATCATATTCAAAATCAGCGATGCTTAGCCAGCTTGTGAGAATTCACTCTTTAGCATCATGTGAAGTTCTATTGTTAAAGAAAAGAAGGAAGTTTAAAAAACTTGTTATAACTACTTCAAGATTGCTATTTTACAGAAAGGATTTTGTCTTTAGGTTGATAAGATTAAGGCACCAAGTAAAGAGATGATATCATGTTACTTTACTGAATAACTAATTCATCAGTGGCCAATTGCAATCGTGTTTGTTTCCTTACCTCCTGTGTGCCTGCCTCCGGGTCTGTCATTCCAATCACAGAGAAATCCCCATATCTGTCTCCATTGGCATCAATGGACACCTGCCCAGCAATGCCTAAAGAATGGCATGTGAGGAATCAGAAGATTAATTAGTTAAAATACTGAGCCTTTCCAAGCAAAACATGAAAACAGTGGACAGGTTTTTACAGACCGATATGACAGGAAATCTCATCAGTCTCCCTGCATTTTTGTTGGCATTCCAGAAGAAATTGTAATTTCATCTCGGTGTCTGCATTCCTGAATTCTTAACATTTCTCCTTTTTAAATATTAAACGTGTGAAACTGGAGAATACGTGAGAAAAATCTAATCCAAAAATGAGCATGTAAGACTAAAACACAAATATTTAACATTAATTATTTACAGAGAGCCTAATCCTGAAATATCTGATGATGCCTCATTGAAGAGAGTCCAGCTCATATGCTGCAGAGGACACAGAGGCAGAGACATAGATCCCACAGGATGAAGGGGCTGCTGCACCCATATAACCAGTCCAATGCTGATTCCACAAAATGGGATACTGGAGATGGCATGGACAAGGGGTACCATGTGCACTAAATATGCATTAAGCCCAGCATTCATCTGCTTAAGATTAACCACATAATACACGCAGTTTGGTTTATATTTTTAGAGCCCCATTCCACTTTCCTGTTTTACAATTTCTAGAAAACTTTGGGGAAACTGGGACTCATTGATTCATAGGATATGTCAAGTTTGAAGGAGCTTTGGAGATCTTGAGCCCAACCTCCAGCTCAGAGCAGAGACACCCAGGAGAATGCTCAAGGTGTTATCTGCTCTCCAAAATCTCCAAGGACTTCGGAGAGCAAAAGCTCCACAGCCTCAGTGGGACAACTTGTTTGATCTGTCATGGGAAATGAACACATCCTTGGATTCAATCTAAACCTCTTTTAAAACCCCCTTGTGTACAAAAAGCTTGGCTTCAAATTCTCAAGGTATAAGTCAAAACAGAGTCTTAAAATCCATCAAACAATATTAATTGATTATGGTGAAGACATCTTAAGACTGCTGACACACTTTTTCATCTCAGGTACTCTCAAACGTGATCCTCCACTGCCTGACACCAAACACAGCCAATTACAGCCATGCAAGGCAAACAGGCACCATTGTACATCCATGTTACACCAAACACATGCCTAGACCAGGCACAAAGCCAGGGAGATTCAGGCTCTCAGTGACAGTCAGTCAGAAAAGAGAGGTCAGTTATTCAGAGTATCAACTTCCCCCATTGTGCCTAGTGACAGTGAGTGTGCAACAGACTTAACACACCTCCATTTATTCTGTATCTGTTCAGATTTAGTGATGTCAGGAACATTTCGGCTTGCTGTGGTTTTCAAAATATGTAGTGGTAATCAAAATTATTGTCAAGCACCTATTTCATTATAACAACACAGTTACCAAGCTATTGTCAAGTCAATTACTGCAGGGAAATCAAATTGGTGTAACAAGCACTTGGCTGTGAGACACTGAAAGAAGAGGCCACTCTGAAGAACTGTGATGTCCCTGTTTACACATCAATTTGGATTCTGGATCTGAGTGGAGGTACTAATTGGAACAGATACTTTTGTGATCTAAGAAAACCATAACTCTGTTTTTGCAAAGAGGTACTAAAATTGAAACTTGGAGTTTCTTTCAGTCAGAAAAGATTTATTTTTCAATTTTTCATCTGAATCAGAAATACAAATTTTAAAAGTTGCCATTTCCTGGACTTCCTTAAGAAACAGAGGTAGCAAATTTTGAAACTACCTTAATGAAGAATTGCATTTGCATGAAGGTGGAATGATTTTATCTCAACTTTCTTTCTGTTTCTAACATATTTTTTATGTTAGACAGACAAAAAATTTTGCTACTTTTTCAGAGAAAATGCCAATGAATAGCAAATACTGTCCACCAGATGTGCCCTTATGCCCAGATGCTGCCTTTAACAGCCCAATCACTAAGAAATCTTTTGATCACCTCAGCCTTATCCTTTTCTAAGCCCTTAATGTCTGTGCAGCTGTGGCAGGCAGATGGAATTCTGCAGAAAGCACCATCTACATTCTGTTGGGAGTCCTGATAAATCAGAGCAGTCAGTAAAATGAGGTGCCAAGACAATCAGATATCTACATGTCAGAAGTTAAATTAATGTCATTAGTGAAAGTGGAGTTCTCATTATCAAGGCCTGCCAAAATCAAAGGGAATTACAAAGCTTCAGTCCTGCAGCAGAACCTGATGGGTGTGCATGAACCATACTCTGTGATGCTTCACCCACTGCAAAGAGGGGCTCACAAGCAAAATAAAGGGACATCATCTTCTCTAAGGGACTGGATTGCAAGACACTGAGTTAAAGGCTTCTTTCAACATCAATTTTATGTCCAGCAAAGTACTGCTACAGGGAGGAAAAGGCATATGGCTTACAAGAATTTTGACCAACTGCACCCTCAGCTGTAGCCCAACTCAGAAACATTTTCAGAATAGGTGGAGCAGATCAGCCACCAACAACAATCTGGTTTTCACAAGTGGGGGAAGAGAATATTGTTCCCTCCTGTCAGGTTTTACAAGCAAGGTGTGAGAACCAGCCACGTAGCCCAGGTGGAGCACATGGCACTACAAAGGAGGCATGGGCACACCATTTGGTGGCTTCCTGGAGCACAGGAACAGGAGCAAACACAGGCTGTGCTGGGGCATCTACTCATGCACAACACAAACAGAGAGGCAAATCCTTAGACACAAGATTCCCTCCCTTTTAAAGCAGAGTGTTTTGGGGAGCCACAGATATGAAGAGATACAGTGGACACCAAGCACAACCTATAGATGGTGCAGGGCTGCTTATGGGATGATTGCAACCAGCATAATTTAAAGCAACCCCTTGCTTTAAAGTGCTTAAGTGTTCCCTTAAGTGCCCTGAGTATTCTTTTTCCTCATGTTCACACCACAATTTCAGAACAGAAAATTGGTTTGGAGCTGCTGCCCTTCTTGCCTTCTTATACAATGTCCAATGTGTTCTTAGAGCTGAGAACCTGGCCACTGGGGCTTTTCTTACACATTCAGATGAATCATTCACTTTTTATCTAGGGGAAATGTTTCCTTCTCTCCAGCATTTCCACAGGAAATCTTGCCAGTCCTACATCAAATGATTGGACTATCACACGAGATGGATGGAAATATTTTAAAGAGATGACAGATGAAAACAATAATCTTCAGTTTATTTTTTACAATTCTTACCTGGCAAAAGCATCTGCATTGCTTTGCATCAGCAAGGTGCCACACAAGTGCCAGTTGCAGTGCAAAACTGCAGCCTCGAGGATTAGGCACAGAAAGGCACAGGGGTGCTGCCTCTGAGACAACACACACAGCTCCTGAAAGGAGGCTGGGGGAAATCCTTCTAGGGCCCAAAGGAATCCCATTGAGAAACACAAAATAACCCCAACCCTGGCACCTGCTTCCTTCTATCCATTCCCAGGCTTTCAAGATAAAAAAGTGAAACGGAAAAAATGAGGCAATCTGAGAGCTAATAGATGAACATGAGCAAAGTGAGCAGCTGTAATCTTTTCAAAAACAAAAAAGGAGCCTGAGAAAATTATTGGTATTTCTTTACCACATCAGTGAGGGTCATTAAATTGTTAAGAGTTTTTTAAACTGAGTCAAGACCTCAACAGTTGATGCAAAAAAAAGACAGACTGGTGAGATACGTGAGCCAGCCTTAAAGATGCACATGGTTTCCTACGTTTGCTTTCCTCTCTCTTAGGAGTGGAACAGGCATGGGTCCTTACTTTGCACAGTATAAAGACCTGAAGGCTTTTTACTCTGAAAGCTGGAATTCCATATTAACTCTTACCTTCGTATGTTCTGTTCCGTGTTTGTTGAACAATTTTTTCCCCATCTTTCTTACTGAAACCGATTTTCAGGACTTCCTGTAAAGCTAGAGCATAAAGAAGAACAGCATCATGGAATCCTTCCACAAACATGTTCACCTAAAAAAATAGAAGAAAAAAAAAACAATGACAATTGACACATTACAAAATTATTCTTTCCTAGGTAATTGATTGACTAGAGAGAATCTACAAATTAACCAAAGTGACTAATTTGGAGAGTTACTTTCTCAGCTGCTGGAACAGAAAGGAATGTATCGCAAAAAAACCTCAGGGGAACTTCTGACCCATTTTTAAAAACAGTTAACCACTATCTGCTATTCTGGACATTCATAATGTGTCTGAATAGCTCTGCAGATAGGGGTGAAATTTGCAGATCCCAGTTCCCATGCCCAGAGGCACAAATTCTGCACTTGACCATGTGAGATTCTGTTAAGTGCTGAGCACCCTCATCCCACAGCAGCAAGCATAACTCCCACCCTTTGCACAGGGGACTTAGCACCTCTCAGGACTGGGAAGTATGTTCTCTCATGATTTTTTTTGGAGAGCACAGCTGGTGGATTTGCTTGTTTAATGATTACCACTTCCACTTCTGGCCCTTGTTCAGCCAAGCATCTCTCCACTCGCAAATAAGCAATGGAGAAAACTACTTACCATCTTCAGTAATGTGTTCTCTTGAGTGCCAGGAGAACTTTTTCCTGTCCTTTATAGTTTTCTCAGTAAGTTACATGAAACAAATGAAATAACCCTAATAACCCCAATCCTGCTTTATAACCCTAACACAAAAGAAGATTGCTGCCAATGAACCTTCATAGGCAGCCTACAGTTTTTGGTCCGTCAGTTACATAAACAGTTAACACCTGAGTGCTGCATAAACATGACAATTTGCTCTCAGGAGCCTGACATGCTTCAGTGGTGAAGCAGTAATTACTCAGGAGTGGAGTTCAGATGGAGACCCATCAGCAGAAGCTGATGCAGAATGACCAGAGGTATACCTCTTCTGTAGGCAGCAATGAACATTTCAGCAGTGCAATGTACTCACTAAATGCAGAGTAATTCAGAATGAATTATCTTTTCAGCTGCAAGATGTTCCCATCCACTCAGAGTTTCACTACAATAAAAAAACTCCTGACACCCTAGCAAAGGTGTAACCACATTATGGGGTCTCTTACTGCCACTTCCAGTGAATCACTCACCTCTACAAATACTCCCCTGGACAGAAGTAACATTTAGCTATCTCCCACGTCAGTGTATCTAAACAACTTAAAATGCCAGTAAATGAAGTGCTACACTAGCTCTGACAGGTTTAGCTGGAGGTTAAAAAAGTTACAAGACAAAACATATGGCCAGTTAACTAAATAACTGTTCCACAGATAAGAAGTATTACATAGTTGATTGGCTAAGCAGAACTAATCAAACCCTGATAGTATAATTACATCCAAGACATTCCTTCACTCTTAAAGCAGCTGCCAACAGTAAGGAGAATTTCGGAATTATTTACTGATAATATAAAAGTTTACATTGCTCTGACATTTAAAAGTGGAGTTTCACTAACTCCAACCTATGCTGCAGTTGAATGCACCACATTCATCACAGGGAAGAGCCCGTGGTGCTACAGAAGGGGCAGAACAGCTCAGCTCACTCTGACAGTCACTGACTAAAGGGCAGCTGCAGTTATTCTGAGCTAAAGAGAAAGCCCGAAAGAAGACGTGAAAGTCAGGCTTTTGGTGGAATAAAAAGAGCTGATGGACAGAGTGCATACTAGGACAGGCTTTGCCAGCAGGGGCTTAAACTTTTCAGAATTTAAAAAAACCCAACAAAACCAAGAAACCACAAAGCTCGACAACTGCTTCATGTGCCAACGTTAGAGTCCAAGTGGCCTGTGGAAGATCAAACTTCAGCTTTGTTAATGTGACATTCTTTCTCTCAGGAGAGAAATTAGACTCTCCAGTAGCTATACCTCCCTGCTGGCTGATTTACAGTTTGTGGCTGGCATTTGTTTCAAGGAAAGCTATTTGTCACTTCTTTTGTCCATGGCAGAGACCTCTCAGTGTAAAACAGCAACCTTCAAAATCCATTTTGTCAGCTAATTTGCTCAACCTGAAATCTACTCATGCCACCAGCCTGAAAACCCTTCTGTAGACACTGCAGATTTGCCAGATAAGCCCTGTCAAAACTCACTTGGCAGTTTGGAAAATTACTGCCACAGCATCTTGCCAAAGCTCCACTTGGCCAAAACCCCTTACATTACGTGAAAAATCACATTAAAAATTGTCAGAAAGTCATTTATGCCACTGCTCAGTTGCTCACACACAAACCCCAGCGTTTTACCTCATGTTGTCAAAGAAGTTGGATAATTTTTGGATAATTTATGCCATGCAAAATCTTCTGAAAGAATTGCAGTTACTGTTTGCAGATGGGATTGCTCTTACACTTCCCAGCCAAACCATATGCTGGCCACACCTGAGACTTTTCACATTAACCAAGGAACACATTTAAGCAGCAGTTCTTGAAAGGTGATACAGGATTCCATGAAGGGAATAGGGTTTTCCTGCATATCATCTTGTTCAATCATTTGTAAGTTGCCACAATTCCACACAGACCACAGGTTGCGTGATGTGTAGGACAGAGGAATATTAAAATGTGAAGTAACAGCTGCAAAAATTTTTGAAGGGTTTGCTCTTTGCTTCAGGAAAAGCATTAAAAAGGGCTAGACTAAAAACTTTATATTCCAGGAATACTTTCAATAGGAATGAGAGTAACTGTGAAGATGTCTTCACAGGCTGTTTGATGGTGTCCATGGTAATTAATAATGTGTTAGTTCAACCTTAGACACCTGCAGGATAAAAATCTATTAAAGGCCCACTAATCTTATAGGTAATTAAAAATTCTTTTAGTTGAGCTCTAATACAAATCAGAGTCTTTTTATTGTAGTCTTTTCCATTTTCATTTAAGCTGCCTTTTAATTATAGGTGTGAGCAGAGCTCCAAAGGCTGTGATCACAATTTGCATGTCAGAGCTACTGAAATGTTGCTGTCTGGGGCCACCCCCTCAACGTGGCAGCAATGCCACTGGCAGCAGAGCAGCTGCAAGGTTTGCTGAACACCTTTGGAGGCTTCAGTACAAATACGTGGAAACCTCTTTCTGAGCTATCTTCTGTACTACTTTCACATCCTGTTTTAATACCATACACCTAAAAAGCAAGTATGCCAACTGTATATGTAAATAAGACATATCTCTTTTAACTTCCTGCCTTTCTACTCTAATTAATCATCTTCTATCACAAAAAAGAAAGCAACCAAAACCCAACAACCCGTCAGAGGAAATCACATGCATAAATTTTACCCAGTTCGAAGTTATAGTTCCCCAAGCAGCTATATTGTGACCACACTGTTCATATATACCAAGGTGTTAACAGCATACACAGCAATGCAAAATACTACTGAGGTGGAAGACAGCCAAGATACAGCTATGCAGGGCCCATAATTTTCCATATCCTGCCTACTGACTCTAAAATAAGATTATTCTCCTCCATCTGGAGCTGCCCAGCTCTGAATCACCGCAATTACAGCAATTCGTACCACTTCCATGCTTGGTGGGGAGCAGCAGCATCATCACTTTTTTTCTATTGAAAAGGCAAACATCTCCCACACTTGGTCTCTGCATCTACTTTCCAGTACATCTGTAGTGATATTCAAGCTGTCAAACCGTGGTTTCAGCCCCAGTCAGGAAGGATCCCAGGGATCCTGCAGAGGGCTGCACCCAAACATCTTGCAAAAAATCTTACCAATTTGTGTAGCTGATGTAATGCTCCTACTTCTCACACTGTTACAATGTATCTCAAGAGAAGTATTTTTCTAAGCAGTTGCAATTTAATTGTCAGTTATCCTCTTTTAATCCTCCTTCACCAAACCAATTATAATTATGGTCCCTTCTTTATGAGCTTTTTAAGAAGGTCTGGCATAACTAACTTCTCTCACATGCATTCTTGACACATATATTTGGTTGTCTTCTGCTGACTCACTATCCAGCACTATTCACTTAACTCTACAGCAGGGATTTCTTTCTTCAATACCATTTGTTGATGCTGCATATTCCCATTGAGGACACTGCCACAGCCCATGCTGTTTTAAGTAGTTATTTACAGAGATGGTCAGGGGCCTTCAGCAGTTCTTTGATGAGTTGCCACAACCTTGCTCTGAGCAGCACAAATCTAGAACGAGGTGGTCATGATTCCCATACAATAGACAAAAATATAGAAATTATTCATGTTTCATTTTTTAAAGATAAAATATCATTATTACACACTGATTTTGTGTTAAACTTCTAGTTTAGGTAATCCCAGTGAGAAACTGGGTGGAACTGACATGTAAATTGAGAACATGAAGCTGTGGGAAGAATATTCTTACACCTGATCATTTCCTGAGAAAAGGTGAAGTGCATTTCCAACCATGTGCAGTTCCAGCTCGTGTCTAGTTCCAGCTTTGCAGTAATGTATTAGTCCTACTGCCATAACACTACCACATATCATTCTGCATGCTACCACCCCAACAGTATTATCAAAGTTTTCACTAACCCACCATCCCTCTCTTCAGATCCTCACAGGATTTCTTCATTTGGTTATGCAACAGAAACTCACAGAGCTCCTGAATAACATCTGTGGATTACAGCTGGGTAATGCTAACATGCACTGGGACTGGGATTTGAAGGACTCCTAAGCACACCAAATGCAAAGCCACAGGATATACCAATAGTCAGCTGTCATAAACAGCATATCCTGGGTGCCTGCAGACAGGGATGCATCCCTGGGGAAACAAAGCAGGAACTGGAAAGGAGAATAAAGCTAAAAGACAGTTAATCAAATCTATATGTTTAGATGCCTAAGACTAAAAATACAGACTGTTTGCTTGGGCAACTATACTGCTCCCCTACTGGACCATAGTGCTTCAAACAAACAGTAAGAAAAAGGAAAAAATTATAGAAACACATGCTTTCTTCTGAAAAGGCCATTTCCACAATATTTAATTTAAAACTAAAAAAGAATATATGGCATTACACCAAATTCTGGGTAACACAGCTGTAGCCAAAGAGAGCTTCACACT